AAAAACACTGTTTAGATCATTCCATGTTAAGGTATATACATCTATCTTCAGAATATATGATGATAAAATTCAACCAGAAGATGAAACAATCTAAATGTGTAGGCACCTAGCAACAGAGAATAAAAATAAGTGAAAAAACAAATTGAAATGAAGGGAGAAATAATCAGATTCTAAAATTATACTTTAGGGAATTCCCTGGCAGTCCACTGGTTAGGACTTGGCATTCTCCCTGCCAGAGCAGGTTTGCCGATCCCTGGTTGGAGAACTAAGATCCCAAAAGCTGTGTGGCACAACAAAAATAAATAAATTATACTTGGAGACAGGAATATAAAAGAGCTGAACAACACAGTAACCAACTTGACCTAACCAACACTTACAGCACAGCCCATCCAACAAGAGAAAACTCTAAAGATGGACCACGGCCTCAACCATACAACAAACCTTAACACATTTAGAATAACTGAAATCATACAGAGTAGGTTCTCTGACCACAGTAGAATTAAACTACAAATTAATGACAAAAAAAAACTCAGAACCCCTCCCCACAGGAAAAAAATGTGCAAATTAAACACACACCTAAGTAATTCCTGGGTCAAAAAGTAAGTCACAAGGGAAATGATAAAATGTTTGGAATGGAATAAAAATGAAAATACAAAATATCAAAATCTGCAGGATGCCAGTAAAGCAGTGCTTAGAGGAAAGAATAGAGACATCAGATGCTCATATTAGAAAAGAAGGTTGTTTTCAAGTAAGTAATCTAAGCCTTTACCTTAAGAAATAAGGAAAAAGAAGAGCAAATTAAACCCAAACCAAGCAAAATGAGAGAAAAAATAAAGACAGGAACAAGTGTGAATTAAATTTAAAAAGAAAAACAAAAGATAAAGTCAATAAAACCAAAAATTGTTTCTTTGAAAAGATCAAGAAAATTGAGAAACCTCTAGCCAGACTGACCAAGAAAAAAAGAGGAAAGACAAACGTGACCAAAATAAGGAATACCATATTATCTCAGCGATATTAGACAAAGAAAAAAGCAATACTATAAACAACTCTATAAGCAATTTGACAACTTGGATGGAATTGACCAGTTCCTTCAAGGATACAGACTATGAAAACTCACTCAAGAAGTAGATATTCTTCTAACTAGTCCTGTATTTAAAGAAATTGAGTTTGTATTTTTTAAAAAAATCTTCCAAGAAATCCCAAGCCCTTTCCCAAACCGTCAATAAAGGAATAATACAAATTCTACAGTCTTTTTCAGAAAAATAAAAGATGGGAAAATTCCCATCTCATTCTGTGCAGCCCAAACCAGAGGAATAATACACAAGGAAGGTAAACTATAGCCCAATATCCCGCATGAATATAGGCACAAAAGTCCTCATCGAGATATTAGCAAATCTCAGCCATTCACGAGAAAAATACATCAACACCAAGTAGAATCTAGTCTGGAATTCTAGGCTGGATCAACATGAGAAAATCAAGCAATTAGCAGATTAAAGAATAAAACCACATCAGTATCTGGATCGATACACAAAATGCATTTGACTAAATTTAACATTCACTCATGACATTAAAAAAAAAAACTCTCTCAGCAAATGAATAATACAGGGAAACTTCTCTAACCTGATAGAGGACATTTACAAAATCCCTACAGCTAACATTATACATAATGTTAAAAAAAACTGAATGCTTTCCCCCGAAATTCAGGAACAAATTCAAGCAAGTCCATTCTCTCCCTACAGAACTGAAAACACGTCTTTCCAAAATCTGTACACAAATCTTACAGCTTTGGCTTTGTTCAAAATTTCTCGAAAACAAAAATATAGAAATCCTTCAGTGGATGATTAGATAATGAAATTGTGATGTGTTTCCACATAGTGGTATAGTATACGGTACATTTCCACCTGACGGAATGTTGTTTAGTCGCTAAGTTGTGTCCGACTCTTTTGAGACCCCATGGACTGAAGTCTGCCAGGCTCCTCTGTCCATGGGATTTTCCAGGCAAGAATATTATTAGAGGCAGTTGTCCAACCAGAGGTCCATGGTTGCCTTGGATTAGGGACAGAGGGGGAGTTCAGACTACAAAGGTGCAACCTGAAGATTGGGGGGGGGGGCGGGCAGGGGCACACTGTTTCTTGGTCTGGTGGTGGCTGCAGAACCTCACATAGTTATTAAAACATAAAGACTTGTATCTCAAAAAAAGTGAAATTTACTATGTACGTGCCTGTGTGCCAAGGGGCTTCAGTCATGTCTGACTCTGTGATTCTATGGACTGTAGCCCCCTAGGAGCCTCTGTCCCTGGGATTCTCCATGCTCTCCTCCAAGGAATCCTCCCAAGCCAGGTCTCCTGCATCTCCTGCATAGGCAGGCGGGTTCTTTACCACTAGTGCCACCTGGGAAGCCTGAAACTTAGTATACGAAAACTTTTAAATACACCTTGTAGAAGCTAGAAACACATACACACACACACACACGTCTATTTTCTAGCCATCCTCCCAGCTGCATTCTTACAGATAAACTTTAGATTAATTGTGGGGTTTTTTTTAAGCTCACAAATAATTTTCTTTGAACTATACTGAATTACAGCTAATTCATGAGAAACGGACATATTTTCAACAGTAGGTCTTTCTATCCAAGAACATCCATATCATCTTTTGCACTCTTTAACAGAGTCTTCAATCTTTTTCACCTCGGATCCTACACATTTTTGTGACAATTTTCCTAGGTTTTTAATGCATTTTGTTGTTACTGTGAATGAAATCACTTTTTACATTATGATCTCTAAATGATCATTATGGGTTTAAAGGGAAAATATAGGTTTCTGAGTAGCTATTTTATAACTGGCCACCTCAACTGACCTCCTAGTTGGTATTAATTTCAGTTATTAATTAATATGATGACACATATGCTTACATCACCCACAAACAGTGACTGCTCTTGGCCACCATGTCTATGTCTGACTTCCCTTTTTTCACTGTGATGACTAACGCTTCGAAAACAATGTCAAGTAATTCCACTTTTATTTTCTAAGTTTCACCCGCAAGGAGGAGGCCAAGCAGCTCTCCAGCCCCTTACGCTCCGGCATCATTTTTCTAAACTCAAAGACAGAAGAGTGGAGCCTGTATACACACCTCTGTATTTCTCACAACGTTCCATTCATTAAAAATTAATGACTCGGCAATACTGGAAATTTTAAAGGAAGAAAGCAGCTTGTTGCTCCCTTACCACCCCAGCCAGCCGCCGTCCGCTGTGTGTGCTCATCCTGTCTGATTGGCACTCAGTTGTTGTCGGAACATAGGAAGTGTCAGTTCAAAGGCTGAAAGCACTTCCTGGATTCTGCACGCAGACTCCTAGACCCAGACGGGCACTTGTGCACATTCCCACCTCCCCATCAGAAACGGGGGTAAAAGAGTGGATAGCAGAAAACATCAGAGTGACAGCTCCTCTGAGGGCAGCGGTGAGATGACAGGAGAGGAAGGAACTGGGCGTGGAGGCACCCAGAGGGTGACAGAGCTGGAGAGCAAGAGGACAGCTGGTGTGGCCGCACCATCAGGCTGGACCAGCCGATCTGGCGACTGCAAAGTCTGAGAGAACTGTCCCTGCCCTGGTCGCTGGCTGTCTGGGCGACATGAACAACTCCCCTTAGTAAAGAGAGCAAACTGAATTTCCAAGGACACTTTCAGCTCCGAGTTCACGATTCAGTTTCCTAGGGGAAACGAGGCACCTGGGATGAGGTCTGGACTGAAAGAGCAAGACAACTGAGAAGCAATCCCAGGTTTTTCCAGACCATGAGGTCATCCGCTCTTTGTGTTGGAAAGGACCGGATGGCTGACCTAACATAATTCCCCCCGCTTCAGGAATCCCCTTTCAAACACCCTTGACATCCCAAGGCTGATTCTGACCCTGTGTCCCTCCCAGGGGTCTAAACAGCAGTTCTCAGATTCTGGTACAGGAACAATGCCAGTCTGAGACAGTCTTCATCACTGACAGCTCAAATATCCTTTCTTTCATAAATGATAACACTGCCACATGGGAGGTAGCTTTTTAAGTACCTTATTGCAAAATCAAGGCATCAACTCCCCAACACACCCAGGTTTTCCTTCCGACTAGTGTTTGAAAGAATCACCTTCAATGTGGGAGACCTGGGTTTGATCCCTGGATCAGGAAGATGCCCTGGAGAAGGGAAAGATTTCACTCCAGTATTCTGGCCTGGAGAATTCCAGGGGTCACAAAGGGTCTGAGCAATTTTCGCTTTCATTTTCAGTGTTTAAAACACAAAAGAGTAAGAAGCCTTAGAGAACATCATATATGATCAAACTTGTCATATATGAAAGCAGGACACAATACAGGAGTGTCTACGTGTTTCTGTGCAGATGATAAAGACACACACAAACACGTGGTTTATGGTGGAGAGAAATTTTTCTCCCCTCTCACACCCTGCATGGTGAGTGTCTAGGACCACAAGATGGGGACACGGGAACACACACATCATCTAACACTCACCTGTCTACAACTGATGAACTTTCATGTTAATTACTGAGCAAAGGAACAGAAGTTTGTCTTGGTAGTCTTATGTCTGACATTTGAATAAGCAGCAAAAGTTTAAGACAGTCCTCGAAACTGGGAAACGTCACCAAGGTGTGGTGAGATGGGGACCTCCTAGGTGTGAGGCAGGGCTTCTCTTGAACACTCATCAACCTGGGAGTTGTGTACGATTTTAAAAAATGCAGGAGGAGGGGAAGGTGTATATTTCAGGTATAAGGTGTACATCTCATCCTCAAAAGGCATTAGACCATAGTGACTGTTTGTTCCCACTGTAACATGAGTTACAGTATTTAAATCATGTCCAGCTAAAAATGCTTTTGATCAGAGCATACTACCAACTTCACAAAAAAAATNCGACAGGTAGGAAACATTTTATAGACTTGGGTCAAACCTTACCCCTCCACTCTTCAACTGGCTTTCATCCCTCATGTTCTCTAAATCACAGAAAGCTAACACAGTTAACTTTAAACAATTTTTATTACACAAAGGTTGTCACATAATTGGATATTTCTCTACTCTGTACACAATTGTTCTTACTCTCCACAGAAAGGCTGCTTCTTAACTTCTCATCTGGTGACAGCAAGCACTAAAATCCTGATTTTAACAGAATAGTAGTAAAAATGCCTCAGTGATTTAAGTTGAAAGCAGTACATTGGTACATGGCTCGTAAGCTCATTTATCAGGAATGTACAAATGTCTTTATTTAAAAATACAAAATAAATTATCTGTAGGCATGGACAATGACAGCAGTAAACCATTCTATATTGTCAACTGAAACCAGTAACTGATGGTTATAGTTATTTTCTTAAACATCAGCCAGCCTTTTCTTCAGTCATCTCCTTCAACTGACCTCTCCTGAAATTCTTGGTGAGGAACACTGCCTTGAACTTCCTCTCACAGTTCATTAATAATGGCAAAGCACTATTCTAGAATTAGAACATGCCACCTCCCATACCACCTCCCATTCCACCCATGCCACCCATTCCAGGATCCTTCTCTTCTTTAGGAATCTCTGTGACTACAACTTCTGCTGTTGTTAAGAGAGAGGCCACTCCGGCAGCATCCAGTAATGCAGTTCTTACAACCTAGGGGAAAAGTTTTCATAAAATGTTACTTTTCCTTAGTTTAAAAAAAAAAAAAAACAAGACTTAGCATTTTAGACAGTGGTCAACTATTTACCTTAGTTGGATCAATGATTCCTTTTTCCACCATATTCACAAAATCTCCAAGCATAGCATCATAACCGACTTCTGAAGAACTCTGCATAATTTTCTCAACTATCAATGATCCTTCAACACCTGCATTCTTAGCAATAGTCATTGCAGGAATTTTTAGTGTTTTTTTAATTATTTCTATACCTATAAAGAAAATATATTTTAGCAAATTGAGTTCTTTCCCTTTTAAGTATTACAGCACAGTTCTACTTGTGAGAATAATGACATAGATAATTCCAATTGGGAGAACACCACAGGTCAAGTGATTCTGCCTGAAAGATCTCTGACAACAGTGTTGTTCTACTTCTGTTATTCTGGAAACTGCTTTGTGACTTCTTGTTCTATCTAGTGGGCAGCAACAATACAACTCTAACAACAGAAAGACTAAAATCAAATTGCAAGTAAACTCATTTCTAAGGCAACTTTTTACCTGTTTTTTGATCTTCATTAGCTGGAGTTATTGACTCCAAGGCTGGAATGCACCGAAGCAGGGCACAGCCCCCTCCCAGAACAATGCCTTCTTCAACAGCAGCTCGGGTAGCATTAAGGGCATCTGTAACTCTGTCTTTCTTTTCATTCACTTCAACATCACTTGTCCCACCAACCTAAAAATCAAAACAGAACTCCAGTTAGTATGGCTTCTCCTACTCAAGATGCCAAATGCCAAGAGTCCTAGCTTACTTGGGCTCAGAACCCAAGCAGCTTATTTACAACAATGAATCTTACCTTCAACACAGCAACACCATCTGAGAGTTTTGCCAGACGTTCATTCAGTTTTTCCTTTTCATATTCGCTAGTTGTGACGTCTAACTGCTCAATTATCTCTTGGATACGCTTCTCAATCTGAGCCTTGTCTCCTTTTCCTTTCAAGAGCATGGCATCGTCTTTGGTCACAATGACCTCCCCAACTTTCCCTAGGTCATGAGGCTGAACATCTTCAAGATTTAGATTTAGTCCTTCTTCTCCAAATACCTATGAAAACATTTTTTAAAATGAATAAACTACAAAATAAAAAGAACAGATTACAGGCATTTTTCATTATACCAAGATCATTAACATAGCCTACAAGTGTTTTGATAAGAAAAGCATCTTGTAATACTGTTTCCTTGAAATCTGAAATTTCAAGACTACAGCTAGACCAAACAAAACTTGCACAGTCTTTCTTTACATTTCCAACTTCCCACTTAACCCTCAATTAATACTAAGCTTTGAGAAACAGGTGAACTCAGAAAACTCATCTAAGGACATACTTTTGGTGAAGCCAAGACTAGACCCTAGGCCTAAACTCTTAAATCCTGCCTTTATCTATTATAATACATTCCTGAAAACAAGACCACTCTTGGGCAAGACTCATGGCAAATTCAAGGGACCTTAGTGCTGTTTGACCTAAACTCTAACAGAAACACAGATTTGTGAAAATGTGAATTCTACCTATAAATTTCAGACTTGGATGTATAAATAACATTCAATAAACCAAAACCACATCTATTTTACTTACTGCACCACCAGTAGCAATAGCCATGTCTTTAAGCTGGTTCTTTCTATTGTCACCAAAACCCGGAGCTTTGACTGCCACAACTTGAAGACCAACTTTCAGCCTGTTAAGAAGTTATTAATAAGATTTAAATTTTATAATAATGCCAGTCTACTTCAAGTTCTAGCAACTAAGGTTACTTGGGAAATTGCACTTTCTGCTTACCTTCTCACCCTACGTTCCACTTGAAAACATGTAAATTAAACAGTGTTAACTTTTATAGACTGTGAAAATCAGAATTACTGTATGTTAAATTTGGGGATCATCTAATGAGCATTTACCCATAACCATTTAGTATTAGATTAAGTTGCTATAAAAGTCAGTTTGAGCAGGTTTTCTTTTTTAGTGAGGGACAGTTGATTTACAATACTATATATTTCAGGCGATTGACACATGACAAATTTTAAAGTTATGAGCTCCACTTATAGTTATTATGTATTACTGCTCTATTCTGAGCAAGCAATTGTTTTTAATCCAATTCCTTTATAAATGTAAATACTGCTGATATCATTAAGCTTATAGCAACTTTCACTTTCACAGTGAGAGAGCAGAAAGGAGGGAGGAGACTGGCTATGGGAGATGAGGGAACTCCGGGGACGATGGGGACGTTTTATCTTGTCACTGCAGGGGTTACATGACTGTACACATTTGTCAAAACTCATCAAATTGTACACGTAACACTGGTGAGTTGTATTGTACATAAATTGCACACTAGCAGAGCTGAACCCTGAAGTGTCCTGAGTCCATGACCAAGAACAAGTCCAGTAGGGCAGTCACAACAGTGGGGAAGTAAGACTTCAGTTTCGTTCTGCCAGAGGATTCCTCTAAACCTAGGTGAGTGAAAGCAAAACACTGCAGGCTTTCAGGCTTTCCCTGACACCTCCCCACACCAGGCCACTTGCCCAGCTGCGTGGCTCTCCAGGCACGTGGCTCAAGACTCTTGGTTTCCCTTCTTTTTAGACAACTTTGACCTCGTACCCAGAGGGGTTTTGGTTCTCAGCTGCCCTGTCAGCGTGGACTTTCCATGTTGCATTCCCCAGTCAGCGTCCCAGATCGGGAGTCTGGGACATCTCAAAGTGCTCACCCTCACCCTTGCCCTTCATTTTCTGCGACACTTGGGGAACATTTGCACCAAGGGTGATCCTGAAGAGGAGGTTCTGCAGGAGAGGATAGGGGGTCCTGGGATCCGCCTGGAAAGGCATGAGTCAGACAAGGCAGAGAGGTCCGCTAGCCCTCTGTGCCCACCTGCAAGACAGCCTGTAGAGGGCCGAGCCTTCAAAGGGAAGGTCCTGGCCATCCTACGTGGTAAGGGCCCCAGGGAGGGGACGGTGGCTTCTAGGATGACCAGGCATGGTCCCTCGAGCAGTGCCGGCCCCGTAGGGAGCAGCCTCAACCTGCCTGATAGGCATCACCCAAATTTCCTCACCCCCAGGGGTGGGGGGCCTTCTGGCTTGAGGATACGCAGCCCTGCCTGTCAATGCCTAGGCCCGCATGAGTCTGAGGGGCAAAAGCCCACAGCACCAGAAATTCCTAGGAAGGGCTTTCCCTAACCCATCTTCAAGCATCAGAGTAACAGGATTCAAGAGAAACTGATGTGAAAGGAAACTGACTGGTCAGGCACCACTTCCCATCAGCGGGATGACCACAGCAGGAAGCGGGGGAGTTCCTGGGGCCGCCTGAGGCACAGACGTGGCCCATAAAAGGCAACCAGAATACACCTGTCAGGAGTCGCCCACCACACAGACAGAAACCTGGCCTTCAACCCTCCTGGCCCCTGGGTTGTCTTCCCACTGCCTGGCTCAGGGGCAAATTCAAGCCATGCTGGGTCGTAATCCCCAGGCGTGAATGAGAAATAACTTGTGAGCTGGTTAAATGTCATCTATAACTGTGTTCTGGTGTCAGCTGATCTCTCACAACCAGCATGTGAGTTTCCTGAGGATTTACACTTCTGTGCCCCCCACCTGTTGGGCACGGTGACCACTCAAGTTTGAAAATGATGGTGATAGTTGAAGTCAGCCCTCCAGGTGACATTTCCGTGGTAAGCTCTCTGTTCAGACAACAGTCCCTAGTAAGGGCGTCATGGCCCGGGGCTCTCCTCCTGCCATGTGTTCATGAGATCAAAATTAAGAGCTGGGATTTCCCTGATGATCCAACAGCTCAGACTCCAAGCTCCCAAGGCAGGGGGCCCGGGTTCAATCCCTGGTCAGAGAACTAGATTCCCCACTTTGAAACTAAGATCAAAGACCCCACTTTGCCACAGCTAAGACCTGGCAGAGACAAATAAATAAAAATAAAATTTGTTTTTAAAATCACAGAATTAAGTGCATCCTTGGAGGAAAGTCCACCAGGTCTACCTGGTTCTGAGGTGTGCGTCCTGGCTGTCCCCGGTGTCCGTGAGCATCACTCCCACCTCCGGACCTGCCCTCTGTCCGCAGTGGGAGGTCCCACCCGCTCTGTACACATGGAATGTTACCCCCTTGGCCAACACCAAGCCTGGCTAAACGCCACCCTTTCTCCACACCTGTGCCCTGCAGCGGGGCACAGCTGGAGGAGAGCACGCACCCGACCGGCCCCCTCCCTTTGGTCCCAACTTTCGTCCTCGGTGAGCCTTTCTGCTGCCTGGACCCATCTCTCTCTCCTGCTCCCCCGGAAACCATCGCATACTTTCTCCTCAGTCTCCAGCACCCCCTTGATCTGGTTCCTATTTCACTGAGAAAAAATGGAAGCAACCAGCAGAGACAGAGACAGGAGCCAAGGTCTTCCTTTAATCGGGGTCTTCGTGGAGGGCCCAGCTCCCCAGGTCTGGCATTGCCCACAGCCCCAGGCTACTTAAGGAGGCCATGATGCTTACCTATGTGTGCCTTGACACTGGCTGGAAGCCCTGGGGTCACAGTATTGGTTTGGGTTCATCCTCCCCTATTGCACAAACACATAGCTTGCAAGTGGACAGGAGTGGACCAAAGGAGGAAATTTCAATTCGAGGATCATTCAACCAGCATCCCTTTCTCAGTCCTGGGAATAGCACTGTGTACAAGACACAGTTTCTAGAACAGTGGGAGAGATAGCCCTGACACATGCACGCACAGAATCACGATGCGTGCTGATCCTGTGGAGGGGAGGGAGCAGGGAGCGTGGGGTGCAGTGACGGGGCAGAGAAGAGATGTGGTTAAGGGTCTTGAAATGGGGGGGGGGGCCTACCCTGCCTCATCCAAGCGTGTCTAGTGTCAGCACCGGAGATCTTACAAGAGGACTGAGAGAGAGTCAGAGTCAGGGAAAGAGATGCGATGACAGAAACAGTCAGAGACAGAAAGGAAGAGAAACGTGAAGCTGTTACACTCCCGACTTTAAAAAAGGAGGACAGGGTCCCCAAGCCAAGGAATGTGGGAGACTCTGGAAGGTGGAAAAGGCAAGGACACGGCCCTCCTCCGGAGCCCCCGGGAGGAGCGCAGCCCTGCGATACCAGATGTCAGCCCAGGGAGTCCCGCGCCAGACTGCTGACTCCAGGACTGTGGGGAAACAAGTCTGCATGCATTTTAAAATTGAGGCAGAATAGACATACCACCTTCTATTGGTTTCAGGGACGTAGTGCAAGGATTCAATATCTGTATATACTGTGGAATGATCACCACAGGAGGTCTAACGTCTCTCACCAGACGGAATTACAGAGTTTTCTTCTTGTGATAAGAACCTTTAAGGTCTGATCTCTTAGCAACTTTCAAACATGTGTGGTTTTGTTAACTAGAGTCACTGTGTCCTACGTTATATCCCCAGCACTTAAATTTGTGTTGTTTTAGGCCACTGAGTTGGTGGTGATTTGTTTTAGGAGTGAGAGGAAACTACAGGATCTTAAATGTCTCCTGCTAATATCTATTCCTTGAATAATGAAAAAACCAAAAAAGCAATTCAGGTAATATGACAAGGCAGCAAGCATGCATGCTGGCTAAGTCACTTCACACTAAGTCACTTGTGTCTGATTCTGACTGCAGCCCTCCAGGCTTCTCTGTCCATGGGATTCTACAGGCAAGAATACTGGAGTGGGTTGCCATGCCCTCCTCCAGGGGGGTCTTCCTGACCCAGAGATCAAACCCACATCTCTTACGTCTCCTGTACTGGCAGGCAGGTTCTTTACCACTAGTGCCACCTGGGAAGCCCCAAGGCAACATGTCAGTTCAGTTCAGTCACTCAGTCGTGTTCCGACTCCTTGTGACCCCATGGACTGCAGCACACCAGGCCTCCCTGTCCATCACCAACTCCCAGAGTTGACCCAAACTCATGTCCATTGAGTCGATGATGCCATCTGATGATCTCATCCTCTGCTTCCCCTTCTCCTCTTGCCCTCAGTCTTTCCCAGCATCAGGGTCTTTTCCAATGAGTTGGCTCTTTGTATCAGGTAACCAAAGTA